AAAACAAAACAGAGCAAAACAAAAGAATGTGAAGAGACTTACTCCATGTCTCTAACACCATAGGTTCACAGCTTGGTGTAACTATTCGCTGAAAAGGAAAGCTGTGAATTCCAAAAATGGCAGGCATGCTCAGCCTATATATGAAGACCAAAGCAAATGTGAAGATGGTACAAATCTTCCTGTCAGGCCCACAATTCTAGATATGCTGATATTTGCAGCATGGAGCTGACCACATGACAGTTCCTATATATGTTGTCTAAAACCCCAAACCAACCTCTACAGGAAAGCAAAGTCCAGAGGTTTTGTGTGTGTGTGTGTGTGTGTGTGTGTGTGTGTATGTGCGTGCGTGTGTGTGTGTGTGTGTGTGTGTTTTCTGTATATCCTTATCTTAGTCCTTCTGACTAATTAAAGTATTTGTTGATTTCCAGCCCATAGTTTCAATCAACCAAAGGGGATTTTCAAAGACTTGGTATGCTATTGGCAAAACATTCTTCCAGCAAAGAAATAACATTCCCCAGACCTGCAGAGACCTGTTGGAGAGAAGCTGAATACTCTGGTCTTCAGCGTTCACCCATAAGCGCCAAACTCCTGCTGGATCTGGGGCCATGTACAGAGCAGACTCTGTACATAAACCCTGTATTTTGTCCCACTCTTCCTGTTTGGTCTCACTGACAATATTTACTTTCCTTTGTTCTGAGACTTTTTTTATTTCTTGGATTATTTTCCCCAGCTCTCCTGTCTACTACCACTAGTCATTGTACACACACACACACACACACACACACACACACACACACACACACAGCTTTCAACATTAAAACCCCAGCTTTGGGCAGGCATGAGATCAGTCTTGCAATGCCCTTTCCATCTTCACGGCCTTTTGCAGTAAGCTCCGGTTCCTTTCCTCTGACATTTGTGGGTCATTGGAGAAACTGCAGTAAGAGGCTGGAAAACATGTCCAGGGTTCTAGAACATTTCATGGACCAGGTTAGGACCAAGTGAAGCCACAAGTTTTTGTATCTGTGGTCTCAGTTTGTATGAAGCATTTGTGTAGGAAAACCCCAATTCCAAGGAGTCAAGACACCACTTGTCACCATGACCCCAATCACAACAACTGGGAACAGCCTCCGAAGTCCATCTGAGTCAAGGTTAAGAGACTGCTTTACTTGTGGACATTTCTACCAAGGCTTGTTTTCAGACTTGGGGTATAAGAGTCCTAGAGAAGCTGGTGGGATTCCCAGAATCACAAGGCAGTATTTGACAACTTGGCTACCAGAAGGAGAAATGGTATATTTGACTTTCCAGGTCCACAGGACTGCCCATCCCCCTCCTGCTCCCCTAGGATCCTGTAATCCTGAGGATCTAGCTCTGCTTAAGCTGCTCCCCCCCAACCCCCAAGGAGTTGGGGTGGGGACAGGACACCCATGGCTTAGGGTGGAGTCAGGAAAATTCTCTCAATTCCTCCCTGCGGCTAGGCTTTGTGGAGAGTTGTCTGGGGCTGGCACACTGTTCCATCTGCCCTTCCCCATCCCGAGAATCTGGCCCCAGGCTTCTGAATAGGGCCTGCCAACCAGAGCCCAATGAATAAGGTGACTCACACCTCAGCTATTGCTCCTCAAGCAGGGATGGAAAGGCTGCAAATATGAAGACACTACTGCTCTCTTTCTCTCTTGGAAGGGGATTTGGGGGCTAATGGCAGGATATAGAAGCTATTGGTAGACTCAGAAGCAGGATGCTGTCAGGGCTGGGAAGGAAAGGAGAGGAACAGAGAGAAGACCAAAGAATGAAAAGTCATGATCTGTATTCAAAGAGTGTCCAGTCTGAAGGGGACAAAAGAGTTGTCCTGTATAGATGGATCCAGACCCAGAGAGGGGTGGTATGGACTCTGTGTGTATCATTTCAGTTTAGAGAAGGATTTCAGAGTCCCCCAGTGAGCAAGACTGGACTAAGTGTGTGTGATAAGGGCCTCTGACATTGGGAGAGATTGGGGCAGGCCTATATGCAAATCATGTCCTATTTATTATCTTATGTCTTCCATTAAGTGTATTCTCTGTTTCTGTCTGTCTCTCTGTCTCTGTCTCTGTCTCTCTCTGTGTTTTGTGCCAGTACTGGAGCTTGAACTCAGGACCTGTTCTTTAGCTTTTTTGCTGAAGGCTGGCATTCTACCACTTGAACTACAGCACCACTTCTGGATTTTTTTGGGGGTGGGTAATTGGAGATAAAAAATCTCATGGATTTTCATGCCCTCGTTGGTTTTGAACCTTGATCCTCAGCTCTTAGCCTCTTGAGTAGCTAGGATTATAAGCATGAGTCACTGGCATCAGGCTCAAATGTGTCTTAAAAAAAATAAAACAAACAAGCAACACACAGCTTGAGGTGTAGGCTCCATGGAGAAAGGCTTGGCTGGTGTTTCAGGTTTGTATATTCTTCATCCATGAGCGGAGACTCTCCCCTGTGTCTGCTGTCTGCAAAGAACTCTGTTCATGCAGAATAGTCTTTGTTTCTCATACTCCTCCATGAGGAATCTGAAAAGTCATCTTATTGCCATCTTCTCTGACAGAGAAACCAGTGGGACCTCCATTAGATAGGCTCCTCACCCCCAACACTGTGCTGTCCAACTGTGCTGTAGAGGAAGTCGGAGAGAAGCTAGGCTAAACATAGCATGTCTGACCAGGTCTTGGTAACTGCTTCTCTAAGCTCCCATTGGAGTTTGCGGTCCCAGTGCAATTCCTTTCTTCCTGTCTCTATGGGATTTCTAGCTAGAGTGGGACTCCCACTCAGCCGAAGGGCTGGGACTTATCTGTCCATGGGGACTTCTCTATCCTCACATCTTCTCAGGTGTGGTGTGGTGGGAGGAGCTGCCCTGCCAGCTGGGGGGTGGTTCCCACAGAGCTTGGACAGAGTGCTGCTTTTCCCAGTGTTACCTCAACAACACTCCTTGCCCAGCTACCTGCCACCTCCACACCACTGGTCCTTGGCACCTAGATCTGAGCATGGTACACTGTAGCGATTCTCAGACTGGCCCCGAGTACATTCCTGTCGGGCCAAGCCCTCCTTCACAACACAGCTGGAGGAGGATGAATGCAGAGAAGAGAATGCCCCAGTGTCTCCAAGGGCAGTGGGGATTGTACCTAGGACCTGTCTCTGTGTGTGGCAGGACATGCCCAGATAGTCATCTTCCAGGGCAGGGAGGGAAAACTCTTGCTAGGAGCCCCTAAACACTTGCTTCAAGTTGGGATCTGTTCTGTCAGGGCTGAGAGCACCACAGGATGTCTCAGACACTCACATCTGACCTCCAGATGGCAACTGAGAGTAAAATTGGTAAGGGGTCTCACCATGATCTAGGTAGGGAGGCACCCAAACCTCATTGCCCAAAACCTACCAGGCCAGCTCTAGCTGCAGTATGCTCTCTCACCACAGCCTCTGGTGAGCAATCACTGTCTCAGCAGATCCTCTGCACCAGAAAGTCATTTCCCACAACCTTGATTTCCTTGTGGCCAACCACAGGCCCTGTGCAGAGATTTCTGTGCCTTAGCCGGTCATGATTTTTGTACTTTTGAGAACATGGCCCCTTAGCCTCATGGCTTTGAACCCCTTCCCACAGCTTCCTCCAGAGGCAGAGGGTGGAGGCAGAGGGTTTTAGTCTGTAGCCAGAGGGTGTGGTTTAGGATAGACACTTCCTAAAACCTAACCAGAATCCCCTTTCTTCTAAATGATACCACAGGCAACCCAGACCAGCTTGTCAGAAGAGCCTTCTGGGATCTTTCCTGAGAGTAACTGGTGGAGTGTTATGTTAGCTTTCCTGACACTCAGAACCTGCTCTGTCTAGTCTCTCTGGCAATCCATCCACATGTAGAATTCAGTTTTCCATCTCTTTGGCTCTGAAGGAGACTGGGCCAGAGCTCAGAGGAAGCAGGGGCCATTCCCGCTGCTCCGAACAGGATGGTTCACCGTTATAACAGGCCCGCCAATTCTCAACATGTTCCCTGATGAGATTAGAAGCTCCTGCAGGTATGTGTTTGTGGCAGCCTTCAGCCTGTATCAACAGATACGATGACTCATTTCTCCCCTGGTGGAATAACTGAGAGCTTGCTGGAACACACCTGGGGGAAGGGATTGGGGGAAACCAGCAGAGTGCTGCTCACCCCACCCCCCAGAGAGACATGCTTGGTAGCCCAGTGTCAAGATGTTTTCTAAGGAATCACACAGGACCCTTTCATTTCCTAAGCCCCCACAGGATCCTGCCCAGGGAAAGATCGAGGAAAAGGTCAGAGACACACAAAATGCTGAGTTAGAAGGAGCTGCGGAAAGAGAAGCCTGGCTATCTATACGCAGAGGCTGGGCTGTATGTCCAGACTGGAGAGGAATTCTCTAGTCTTGAATCTCCAGACTCTGTGGAGCTAAAGACCCTTCAGAAACTTCCTGTCTAGCTAGTGTAAGAAGAGGGAAGAAAAAAGAAGGGAGGGCCTCCCTTTGTCTCCCACTGATGGACAACATCCCCTAAGCTGACTAGGCAGCATTACCAGTCTGAAGGTTGATGGCTAATGTCCCTGGTTCTGTATGGATCTTTAGTACAGTGGCCATTGGCAAATGCCCTTCCTTGTGGTCATTCTTGGCTGCTGCACAGCCAACCCCCACCCCCAAGTCCCACGGGGAAGAGACACTAGCTGGCAGTCTCACTAATTCACTGCCAAAACATGAATGCTACAAGGCAAGGTTATTTCTAACTGAGCAGAGCCTGCCAGGAAGCGCGTTTGCACCCCACACTACTGTGCAGGTGTGACGGGGTGAGCTCACAGCTGCCCCCCAGGCATGCCCAGCCCACTAATCATTCACAGCTCGGCAGCTCTCCCGCCCAACCCAAGTTCTGAGGGGATAAAAGGGGCATTGCAGTTCCCAGGTAACAGAGCCACCCACTGCGTCCCGCTGAGCTCCGTTCTTTCCAGCACCGCCCAACCCACTAGTGTCTGGGACTTCTGTCCTGCCAGGAGCAAGCCATCATGTCTCGCCAGTCCAGTGTGTCCTTCCGAAGTGGGGGCAGCCGCTCCTTCAGCGCTGCCTCTGCCATCACCCCGTCTGTGTCTCGCACCAGTTTTACCTCTGTGTCCCGCTCCGGGGGTGGTGGTGGGGGTAGCAGGATCAGTTTTGGAGGTGTTTCCGGACTGGGTAGCTATGGCAGTCGGAGCCTCTACAACGTGGGTAGTTCCAAGAGGATCTCCATTAACAGCGGAGGAGGTGCCTTCAGGGGCCGCAGTATTGGTGGTGCTGGAGCTGGCTATGGCTTTGGAAGTGGAGCCGGTGGTGGATTTGGTTTTGGTGGTGGTAGCTTTGGGCTCGGCGGCGGTGGAGGTGCTGGCTTTGGTGGTGGAGCTGGCTTTGGTGGTGGCTATGGGGGTGGCTTTGGTGGCCCTGGCTTCCCCGTGTGCCCCCCTGGAGGCATCCAAGAAGTTACCATCAACCAGAGCCTCCTGACTCCTCTCAACCTGGAAATCGACCCCACCATCCAGAGGGTGAGGACCGAGGAGCGTGAGCAGATCAAGACCCTCAACAACAAGTTCGCTTCTTTCATCGACAAGGTGAGTTGAGGCCCTTCAGAATGCACCCCGTGAGTGGAGGGTAAATGCCAAACAAAGAGGGAAGAGGGAAGATCTACTAGGCTTTGTGTAGAGGCCTTCACACTGTGCAGGTGTGTTCAGTTGTTTCTGTGTCTTGGCCTCGAGGCCCTCTTTCTTAACTGCACTGGCAGGCAGGGAGACTGAGTCTAATTTGTTCCCACCCAGAGGCTGTCTTCTCAGAGCTCCTGGTTTCAGCAGGGCCCTGATGAGCTCCCAGCCTCCTGTGAGGTGTGGATTGATGAACAGGGTGGATATATTTATCAGACAGAAGCTGAGGGCCTTTGCAGAAGCAAAAGCCAGGGCCATGCTGCAGCCAGCAGTTCTTGGTGCAAATGGGTCCTACCTGCCCTAGAAGAGGGAGCCTGGGTTCTCACTCTGGAATCCCCAAGTGGCCCTAGGAGGAACCCCATCTGGGAGGCAGGACAATGAGTCTGTCATAGACAAAAGAAATCCAACCATCTTTTTCACACTTGGCTCCCTCCAGGTGCGGTTCCTGGAACAGCAAAACAAGGTCCTGGACACCAAATGGACCCTGCTGCAGGAGCAGGGCACCAAGACTGTGAGACAGAACCTGGAGCCTTTGTTCGAGCAGTACATCAACAACCTCAGAAGGCAGCTGGATGGGGTTCTGGGGGAGAGGGGCCGTCTGGACTCAGAGCTTAGAAACATGCAGGACCTGGTAGAAGACTTTAAGAACAAGTAAGTTGGAGCTGGGAAGAAGTAGGCACATTGGTATTTGTATGGTACCAAATATACTTTATAAGAAGACTTCTGTTTGTCCCTTCCCTGTGGGCTAGAAGTCATAATGTCTGTGGATGTCTACTGTAATGAAAGAAAATCAGATCTGTGCTTAGAAAATTTTAGCCCAGCTCCAGGCTTAGTCTCTGAGCAAGGCATTTAGCCAACAGCCAGAATAGCAAGCATTGAACCCTGGCATTACCTGGCAAACTAGTCCACATGACTCAAATTTCACAGTGTACACTTTTGATGGTTTCCCTTCAAATCTGGTGACAGAATCCAACTTGGTGATCTAAAAATCGTCTTTTGTCAGATGAACCAGCCACTGAGCTGCTCATGCTTGCTTTTGTTTCTTTTCTAAAAACCATTCTGAATGTTAACCAAAAGCCCTAGAGATACAAAGTTGAGGAGAAAAAGCACAGCTTATCCACAGGAATATTCTTGAAGCAACTGATTGGTAGTGATATCAAGTGAATATCTGAAACTGGATGTTGGTGTCTCATACCTTTAATCCTAGCTACTCAGGAGGCTGCAATCTGGGGATTGTGGTTCAAAGCCAGGTTGGTAGGAAAGTCTGTGAGACTTATCTCCAAACAGCCAACAAATAGCTGGAAGTGAAGCTGTGGCTCCAAGGGGTAGAGCACCAACCTTGAATGAAAAAGCAAAGAGAGAGAGTGCTCTAACCCTGAGTTCAAGGCCTGGTACTTGCACAAAACAAAATATAAAGCAAAACAAAACAGAATGACTGCCTGCTACTCAGTTACAGAGAAATTAGCATGCTAATAGGTCAGGTTGTTGCTCCAGGTCTCACCCTGCCTGGCTCTAGACTATGAGATGTGAGAAGCCCCTTCCCAGGGTGAAAGCAGGGTCAGTAAAGATGCCTTTCCTGTTCCTCATTGTCTGACGAGCATTTCCCCTCCCTTAAAACCACCAGGTATGAAGATGAAATCAATAAGCGTACCACTGCTGAGAACGAGTTTGTGATGTTGAAGAAGGTGCGTGTGCCGGAGAACTGGAAGCCTGGGGCTGTGATCTCCTGGGGGTGGAGCACTTAAAGTTAGGTGGGCATTGCTTAGTGTTATCATCCCTCTTTTTCTCTAGGATGTGGATGCTGCCTACATGAACAAGGTAGAGCTAGAGGCCAAGGTGGATGCTTTGATGGATGAGATCAACTTCCTGAAGATGTTCTTTGATGCGGTGAGAAACGATGGATGGAAATCTGAATGTTTAACTTAGGCTAAAATAATACAGAATCAGATCATTGATTTCAAGTGTCCTCACAGGAGCTGTCCCAGATGCAGACACACATCTCAGACACATCTGTGGTGCTGTCCATGGACAACAACCGCAGCCTGGACCTGGACAGCATCATCGCTGAGGTCAAGGCTCAGTATGAAGACATCGCCAACCGCAGTCGGACTGAAGCTGAGTCCTGGTACCAGACTAAGGTGAGTGCCCTATGTGACTGTCCCCTAAGTGAGCAGGTGAGCCGTGGCGAGGATTGTAGGCCAGGACAAGGCTAAGGGTGGAACCATTGAGGCCTGCTGAGGCAAATTGGGATGAACTATGGGAATAGACAGGTAGAGTTTTCTAGTCTAAAAAGTATTTCATATCAGTTTCTAAGAGGAAAGACGAGGAAGAAGAAATGATCTAAGTCTAGCTCTTACCTTGAAACCACTGGAGGCAGCTCCAGGTTTGAGATAGCAGTACCACTCACTACCTCTTAGGAGCTTCTACCCAGAACTTGGGGAAAGTTCTCTTCACCCTCAGGTAAGTGAGAGCATTCCTCTTTTTTGCTGGCTTTAGTATGAGGAGCTGCAGCAGACCGCAGGGCGGCATGGTGATGATCTTCGCAACACCAAGCACGAAATCTCCGAGATGAATCGCATGATCCAGAGGCTGAGAGCCGAGATAGACAACGTCAAGAAGCAGGTAGGGTGAGGTTGAAAGAAGGCAAGGGAAGGGCCTGAGCTCTGAATGGGACACCTACTTTGCTTTACTTTTCCTATACACACACCCACACTCCCCTCCCCCCCACGTACACACACTCAGGATACTGATCATTGTCTTTCTCTAGAACTCCAGGCAGTTTGTCTGATCTAGAATCTCAAGAAGAGTCATATCTGACCTAGTTACTGAGATCTCTCCCTTTTCCTTCCTTTCCCTTTGTAGTGTGCCAACCTGCAGAATGCCATTGCTGATGCCGAGCAACGCGGGGAGCTGGCCCTCAAGGATGCCAGGAACAAGCTGACAGAACTAGAGGAGGCCTTGCAGAAGGCCAAGCAGGACATGGCCCGGCTGATGCGTGACTATCAGGAACTGATGAACGTCAAGCTGGCCCTGGACGTGGAGATTGCCACCTACCGCAAGCTGCTGGAGGGCGAGGAGTGCAGGTGGGCTGACGCCACTGGCCCAGAAGAGCCTTAGCTTTCATTAACAGGACTTCTCCACTTCAGGGTGCAAAACACGCATAGAAGTGACCACCGTCTTATGCATCACAGTCACACATCATCTACACAATTTCAGTTTGACACATGGGTGCCTTGTAGGCCTCAATTTCCCCGTTTGATTAATTCCCCACATTGCATCAACATTCTTGGGCCACCACCTCTCCTTCAAACCACTGAGCAATTCAGCAAAGGCAAGGCAAAGGTTGTCCCCTTTCTGCTTTGTACATGTCCTGTACTAGACTTCAATAATTATGCCACACTCATCTTCACCCCTCCCTTCCCCAGTTTTCAAGTATCTCTTCCTTTGAAAAGTCTTTTGTGGTTAGTCCCTCTGATTTGAACTCACCAGCCTTTGAGTTGTCAAATACCATTTCATTCAGTCTTCTGACCCTGCATAGGGCGAGTCTATTCTTTTGTTTTAGGGATTTTTGTCTGTGCTGAGTTCTCTCACACAAAGTAAACTCTTACAAGGCAAAAATGCTTCATGCATATTCATATTTCCCAGAACCAATGACTCCTGTTTCTGTGAAATGGGTAGGGGAAAAACATGACTTATGATAACCTTGCATAAATCAATCCTTCTTCTTTAGAAAGTCCCTCCAGAGAACACTGTCTTTCTCTAACTTAAGTAGACTTGGGGGGCATCTAGACATCTGGCCTTGGATTAAGCTCTCATTATGACTATGGGAGTTATCCATATAGACTAACATTATCTGTGGGAGAAATGTGAACTCTCATTTCAATGTTTTCTCTTTCAGACTGAGTGGAGAAGGAGTTGGACCAGTCAATATCTGTAAGTAATTTTAAACAGGCATTCATAATGATGAGACTTGATGCTATCTTAGAATCCTGCTGAGCCTAGATACCAGACATTCCCCTATCCCAATATACGCTCATTTAACATGGGAAGCAAATGATGGAGGGGCAGAAGACAAATAAGGACATGAAGTGATCTAGCTCATACCTTATCTCTTGAGGTACAGGCCATGTATCATTCACATATTGGACCCCATCCCCCTACTTTACCCCTATTCTTAGTTTCCCTGGTCCCAGCATCTTAACAAGATGACTTTGTTCCTCTCTATGGCTTCTGTGTGAGAGGGGTCAGGAGTAGCACTCTTCCATGGACCACATCAAAGGAGTTAGCCCTATGAAACCAATCTCCTAGGCCAATCTTAACCCTCTTCTCCTTTTTCTGCAGCTGTGGTTACAAACAGTCTGTCCTCGGGCTACGGCGGCAGTTCCTTTGGCGGTGGCTATGGCGGAGGCATAGGCGGCGGCATAGGCGGAGGCTATGGCGGAGGAATAGGCGGTGGTATTGGTGGAGGTGGTGGCAGCGGAAGCTACTACTCCAGCAGCAGTGGAGGCATGGGAGGCGGCGGCGGCCTGGGTGGTGGGCTCAGTGTAGGAGGCTCTGGCTTCAGCGCAAGCAGTGGCCGAGGGATTGGGGGAGGCAGCAGCTCCAGTGTCAAATTTGTCTCCACCACGTCTTCCTCCCGAAGGAGCTTCAAGAGTTAAGAAGAAGAGTTAAGAAGGCCGCAAGACCCTGCCACCACCCCTGCCCTGCCCCCAGGCAGCCTCCTGGCTCCTAGCAACTGCCCTTTCTAGGCAGTTGTCCAAGTCAAGTTTTCCCTTTTCTGGAGAGTAGTCTAATCCAATCTACCACATACTCTTCCACGGTAGAACCCAATTCCCAGTCTACTCTCCCATGTCACCTCTCTATATTCCGCAGCAAGTCAGTCTTTCGGTCCCTCTAGCATGGTTCCTGACAATGTAAAAATCTGAAGTCTTTTAGAATGTAAGCCACTGAAACAGAATCCCACCCCAGCATCCACCTCAATTCTGTCCTAATTCTGACTCTCTCCAGAGTGTGTTCAATAAAATGCTTTTCTAATATAAGCCATGGTGTCAAATTGGTTTTTCAGATCTACAATCAGCCTAGAGACCCCATGAGGAATGATCTATCCACATGGGATTGAATCCTTTGATGAGTCACAGGAACAATGGAAAACTGAAGGAAAAGTGGCCATCAGGGGTGGTTTGTAGGCTCTAAGAGGTGGGACAGGAGGTTGAAAAAAGCATCTGTAGGGAAGAAAAGTCTGCAGGACATTAGTGGGGGTGTCCATTGCATTGCAACTTGGGTGGAGTTTAGAAACTTTAACTTGTTTGCAAGAACTGTACAAATGTGCTTAAGAAACAATAGATAAGGATTATTTTGCCTTTGGGACCCAAGAAAGCCTAAGATGTTGGGTCTCTTCTAATATTGTAGGTGCTGAGAAGGTTACTAGTTATTTCTTGGTAGTATCAAGAATGGAGCAGCCCTGAGTTTACCAAGGAATTTCAGGAATTTAACTGAGTTGGCAGATCTCTTTTTAAATGTAGGAGAAAGCCCTTCCCTTCCCTTCCCCCCACTTCCCTTTTAACCTTTCCCTCCCTCCCTTCCTTCATCCTTCCTTTCTTCCTTCCTGTCTTCCCCTCTTCCTCTCTCCCTCCCTCCCTCCCTCATTCCCTAACTCTCTTTTACTCTTCCAAGCTTTAAACCCTTCCTTTCCTTGATTCTGGATGCCCTTTATTAAAAAGAATTCTTCTGCTCATACTTATAAATATCTTTCTTCAGGAAGCATCCAATTAATACCATCAAAGCCAGAGGCCTCTCCCACAGAAATAGCTGAGTTAGCTCCTTGGTTGTACCACCTGAGGATGCTGGTCCCTTTTGTGGAAGCAGCAGCAGCAGTAGCTTCAGCCAAGGTATTTTATAAAATCCTAGTCAGTCATCCAACTGCAGGACTGTGGTCTCAGAACTCTGTATAGGAATTGCTCTTCCTCCACATGGACCATGACATGAGAGGACCCTATATGGCACACATTATCAATCTTTTTCATGAACATTCCATAAAACAAAGGCTAGTACCTACCTTAGTTACAACATCCATAGCATGGGGTAGGAGACATTCTCCCCTGAGCCCAGCCTCAACTTTGGTTTATACTGGAACTGAGAATCATAGCTATATAAGATATACAGATAGGTCTTGGCTGAGCCAATAGGATCCAGGGCCACTTTAAAGAGAGACTTGCTTGACATCTGTGGCTCATGCTTGTAATCCCAGGTACTCTGGAGGCTGAGATCTGAGAATCACAGTTTGAAGCCAGCCCAGGCAGAAAAGTCCCTGGGAGACTCTAATCTCCAAGTAACTACTTAAAAAATGGAAGTGGAATTGTGGGCTTAAAGTGTTAGAATGCCAGCCTTAAGCAAAAGAACTCAGGAACAGGCCCTGAGTTCAAGCACCACAACTGATGGGGGGGAATGGGTGGGGGTGGGAGGGAGAGAGGGAGGGAGGGAAGGAGAGAGAAAGAGGGAGAGACTCAATCTCACACTTATGTCCTTAAATGCCAGGTATTACAGCTCTAGACCAGTCAAGTAAGTCAAAGCCAGGAACAGAGAACCCTATATGCAAGTGTACACAAATGTACTAACTGAAATTTGGTAGATTCAGGGGGGAACTCAGTGTAATTCCTTAGCAAGACTAAATCAAAGGTCGACAAAATAAACACCAGGAAATGGGTACTTGAAAGGGTGGGATGATGCCAAGAGGAGGAGGGTGGATAAGGAGAAGAAGGGGGAGAATAGAGTAAAAAAAAATTTAATGAGTATCTTACAAAATTAAGAAAAGAAAATGGGCTGGGAAGGTAGCTTAGTGGTAGAGCACTTGCCTTGCATGCATGAGGCCCTGGGTTCGATTCCTCAGCACCACATAAGCAGAAAAAAAGCCAGACGTGGCGCCATGGCTCAAGTGGTAGAGAGCTAGCCTTGAGCTGAAGAGCTGAGGGACAGCACCTAGGCCAAGAGTTCAGGCCCATGACCGGACCCCCCCCCCAAAAAAAATTAAGAAAAGTGAGGGAAAGGGCGGGTTGGGAGGGATGGACAAGAATGTTGAAAGGAATGACATTGATCAAGGTATGTTAAATTCATAAATGACTTTGTTGAATGCCAGCTCCTTTGTACAATTACTTAACGATAGTAATTAGAAACAAAAAAGGAAATGGAGGTTCCTGGCAGTAGCAAAGGTGAGGAATGATGGCCAAGAGGGAGGGCATTTATCCCCCAAGTTTCCCCTAGCTCTCATCTTCCTGCAGACATCCACAGGAGCTTATTCAAAACTGATCAAATGAAAAGCAGCTCTTCCCCATCTGCCAGAGAAATGAGGTCACAGAATAAATTACTGCCCCTCCCCCCCAGCCACTGGAGCTATAGAGACCCTTTACTCACCATCTCAGGGGCAGAAGCCATGAACAGAAATCTCCATAGGAACCAATATCTAGCAGGAGAATTGATATTGTCATTGATAAATTGCATTCACACTTTGTGAATTTTACCTCTAGGGGCTCTACTGTGCTTCCTAAAGAAGCTTGGAGAAAATTTCCCCTCATGTTTCCAGCAGGGGGAGTGAAAAAGTGAATCACTTTGAAATAGAGTGCTCTGTTCAATCTGTCCACTAAACTATTCAATCATAGCCTACCTAACCTGCTGAGGTTTTTTATCAGATCCTAATCTATCCAGGGTAAAACAAATATAAGAAATTCAAAATAAATATTACAGATCAATCTTAACTAATGTGAATTATGTTAATATATACTCATTAGTAAACTGAACACAGTGAAGAGTTCTTTGGCACAGGTTCTCTGAGACTGAGGATAAGACAAGAGATATAAAACTGAAATATAAAAAGACAAAAGAAAAAAATGGAACTGAATATGCAAGAACTGCAATGGTAAGAATATGTATAAAATGGGAAATATTAAAGAAAAATGGCTCTATCACTTGTGCCACAACTCCTCTTCTGGCTTTTTGTTGTTTATTTGGAGATAAGAATTCACAGATTTGTCTGTCTGGACTGGCTCTCCAAACTGTGATTCTCAGACCTTAGCCTCCTGAGTAGCTAGGTTTACAGGCATGAGCCACAGGTCTCATTTATTTTTATGTGTATATAAACTACATATTCTTTATCCATTCAGTTGATGGAAACTAAGGTTGATATACCTTGGCTATTGTGAATAATGTTACAATAAATTTAGAAACATAGAAGTATATAGATCTCTTTGATTTGATAATTTCCTTTACTTTGGATATATCCCCAGAAGTGAGATAGCTATACCATGCAGCAAATATATTTTCAGTCTCTTTGAGGAGCCTCACACTGTTCTTAAGAATGGCTGCGCTGATTTACATTCCTACTAACTCTCTAGAAGATTTCACTTTTTGAGTTCTATATAAATTCTGGGTACTTCTTTTTGTTTGCCAGATGAATAGTTTCTAAATATTTTCTTCTATTTTATAGATCATCTTCTTACTCTGACAATTGCATCTTTCACTCTGTAGAAGTATCTTACTTGGCTACAATCTTATTTGCATATTGTTAGAGACAATAAAATAGACTAAGTGCTAATTCTCTTATTCCACTGCCTCTGAGCTGAGACATTGCTGTTTTCTTCCTTCAGACTCAAGCTAAAACATCAACTTGTTATAGGTCTTGAATTTTCATCATGTTTTGGTCTGTAGTATTGGGTCTTCTAGTTTTCAGATCTTGCGACTGGGTCTAGAACAAGATTATTGGTTGTTTTGGGACTCTGTATAGATCTTGGTATTTGCTACTCTCCAAATTTAGATCTATCAGTTCTTTTACTCCTCTCCTCTTCTCCCCTCCCCTTTCCTTCCCTCCCTCTCTTTCTTCTCCCCTACTATCCCCTTCCTTCTTCCCTTCACCTACTCTCCCCTACCCTCCTTTCCCCTTCTTTACTGGCGGTACTTGAGTTTGAAATCAGGGTATGTGCTTGCCATGTTCAACTCACCTCCATTTTCTTTTTCCCTTCTTTTCATTTTGATCTTTTTTTTTCTTGAACTCTGGGTAGGTTCTTGTTATGTTCAAGTCTCCTTTATGCAAGGTAACACCAAACTGGAACCCCTCCAGAAACTCACCTGTAAGTCTGAGTTCCAAACTGTGATTCATTCATCCAGGGCACATCACTCAGTTGTAAACACAATAAACTGCTAACACAACAACCTGGATAAATCACAGTGAATTTTGTTAGTGAAAAAGTCCATACACACACTAGCTGCTTGAAAGGTGGAGATTGGAAGATTGATGTTCAAGGTCAGCCTAGGTATACAAGTTTATGAGACTCCATCCCAATCAGTGGTTGGACACTTGGAAAAAATTATTTTAAGTGAAGTAAGCCAGGCCCAAAGAAACATAGGTCCCATGGTTTCCCTTATTTGCAATATGTATATGTCTGAGTCAAGCAAAAAAGGTCAGATAAGGTGATGTTAGGGAAATGAACCCTAAGATATGTATTCAAATGTTTTTTTCTTTCATTTGATTGTTTCTAACACATTTATAAGATTATTTCTTTGTTGCTTTGTATGTCCCTCCCCCACAGTATAACCC